GAACACATGGGATTACATCAAACTCAAAAGCTTCTGCACAGCAAAAGATACAATCACCAAAACGGAAAGGCTACCCACTGTATGGGAGAGCATAATTGCCAATGATATATCAGATAAGGGGTTAATTTCCAATATATATAGAGTGCTCCTACAACTCAACAAAAGGAAGACAAAGAATCCAATTAAAAAATGGCCAGAGGAACTAAATAGACACCTCTCCAAACAGGACATACAAATGGCTAAGAGACATATGAAGAAATGCTCATCAACACTAATCATCAGAGAGCTGCAAATTAAAACAACAATGAGGTATCACCTTACACCTGTCAGAATGGCCGCCATCAACAAATCATCAAACAACAAGTGTTGGCGAGGGTGTGGAAAAAAGGGACTCTAGTGCACTGCTGGTGGGAATGCAGACTGGTGCAGCTGCTATGGAAAACAATATGATGTCACCTCAAAAAATTAAAAATTGAATTTCCATTTGACCCAGTGATCCCACTTCTAGGAATATACCCTAAGAAGCATAAAACACCAATAAGAAAGAATATATGTACCCCCATCTTTGTAGCAGCACTATTTACAATCGCTAAGATCTGGAAACAGCCCAAGTGTCCATCAGTAGACGAATGAATCAAAAAGTTGTGGTACATATACACAATGGAGTACTACACAGCGGTAAGAAAGAAAGATCTCTTATCCTTTGGGACTACATGGAGGGACCTTGAAAGTATCATCCTAGGTGAAACAAGCCAAACAGAGAAAGACAAGTATCATATGATCTCACTTATTTGTGGAATATAATGAACATAACAGTTTGAGGAATGGGGTAGTCCCAGAGACGTGGAAGCGGGGTACAGACTGACAATCCCCTAAAGAGGGGGGAGGTGGGGGAGGGATGAACCACAGAACTTATATGCATGTATGCATGAACAGTGGACATGGACAACAATCTGGGGAAGGGGCAAGGAAGGGAAGGGGAGGGGGGAATCAGTGGGGGGAAAAGGAGAAACATCTGTAACAAAAATTAATCAATAAAAAATATATATATCCATACTATGCAAAGCAATGTATAAATTCAATGCAATCCTCATCTAAATACCAATGACATACTTCACAAAACTAGAAAAAATACTTCAAAAGTTCATATGAAACCAAAAAAAATCCTGGATAGCCACAGCAATCGTGAAAAAGAAGAACAAAGTTGGATGGATCACATTATCACATTTCATGTTATACTACAAAGCCACTGTAATCAAAACAGTCTGGTACTGGCACAAGAACAGGCATATAGACCAGTGGAACAGAACAGAGAACCCAGAAATGGACCCAAGACATTATGCTCAATTAATATTTGACAAAGGGGGAAGAGCATACAGTAGAGTAAAGATAGCCTTTTAATAAATGGTGTTGGGAAAATTGGACAGCTACATGCAAAAAAATGAAACTAGACTATCAACTTAAACCATACACAAGAATAAACTCAAAATAAATAAAAAACTTAAATGTAACTCATGAACCCATAAAAATCCTAGAAGAAAATGTAGGCAACAATATTTCAGACATCATTCGCAGTAGAATTTTCACTGATACATTACCTAAGGCAACAGAAACAAAGGAGAAAATGAACACATGGGACGACATCAAACTCAAAAGCTTTTGCACAGTAAGAGAAACAACCACCAAAATGGAAAGGCAACCCACTCTTTGGGAGAGCATAATTGCTAATGATATATCAGATAAGGATATAATTTTCAATATATATATATATAGTGCTTGTACAGCTCTACAAAATAAAGACAAAGAACCCAATTAAAAAAATGAGGAAAGGAACTAAATAGACACCTCTCCAAACAGGACATACAAATGGCTAAGAGACATATGAAGAAATGCTCAACATCACTAATCATCAGAGAGATGCAAATTAAAACAACAATGAGGTATCACCTCACACCTGTCAGAAGGGCCGCCATCAACAAATCATCAAACAACAAATGTTGGCCAGGGTGTGGAGAAATGGGCACTCTAGTACATTGCTGGTGGGAATGCAGACTGGTGCAGCCACTATGGAAAACAATATGATGTTACCTCAAAAAATTAAAAATTGAACTGCCATTTGACCCAGTGATCCCATTTCTAGGAATATACCCTCAGAAGCCTGTAACACCAATCCGAAAGAATATATGTACCCCCATGTTCACAGCAGCACTATTTACAATAGCTAAGATCTGGAAATAGTCCTAATGTCCATCAGTAGACAAATGGATAAAAAGATGTGGTACATATACACAATGGAGTACTATGCAGCTGTAAGAAAGAAAGATCTCTTATCCTTTGAGACAACATGGTGGGACCTGGAGAGTATTAACTTAATCGAAACAAGCCAAGCAGAGAAAGACAATTATCACATGATCTTACTTATTTGTGGAATATAATGAACATAACAGCCTGAGGAATGAGGTAGTTCCAGAGACATGGAAGTGGGGTACAGACTGACAATCCCCAGAAGAGGGGGTGGGGAGAGAGATAAACCACAGAACATATATACATGTATGCATGAACTATGGACATGGACAACAAAGCTGGGAATAGGGCGTGGAGGGTGGGGGAGTTAGGTATCAGTGGGGGGAAAAAAGAAAAATATGTAACAAAAATAAATTAATTAATTAAGTAATAAAAAAAATTGACGGCATTCCTGTACACCAATAATGAACTCACAGAAAGAGAAACTAAAAAAAAAACAATCCCATTTTCCATTGCAACAAAAAAATTAAGATACCTAGGAATAAACTCAACCAAAGAAGTAAAGGACCTTTTCACACAAAACTATAGAACTTTGAAAAAAAATAGAGAAAGACATAAAAAGGTAGAAGCATATACCTTGTTCATGAATAGGAAGAATTAACATCATTTAAATGTCCTCACTACCCAAAGCAATCTATATATTCAATGCAATCTCCATTAAAATCGAACATATTTCACAGAACTACTACAGAAACTGCAAAGGTTTATATGGAACCAAATAGGCCCTGAATAGCCACAGTAATCTTGAAAAAGAAGAACCGAGTAGGAGGAATCACAATACTGAATATCAGATTACACTACAAAGCCACTGTAATGAAAACAGCCTGGTACTGGCACAAGAACAGGCATATAGATCAATGGAACAGAACAGAAAACACAGAAATTGACCAAGACATTATGCTCAATTAATATTTGAAAAGGCGGCAAGAGCATACAATGGAGTAAGACAGCCTCTTTAATTAATGCTGTTAGGAATTTTGGACAGCTACATGCAAAAAATAAAACTAGACCACCAACTTACACCATATACAAAAATAAAGTCAAAATGGATAAAAGACTTAAATGTGACCCATGTGTTCATAAAAATCTTAGAAGAAAATGTAGGCAACAAAATTTCAGACATCACACGCAACAAAATTTTTACTGTTACAACGCCTAAGGCAAGAGAGAAAAAGGAAAATTGAATATATGGGACTATATCAAACTAAAAAGCTCTTGCACAGCAAAAGAAACAAGCATCAAAATGGAAAAGGAACCCACTATATGGGAGAGCATAATTGCCAACAGTACATCAGATAAGGGGTTAATTTCCAAAATATATAGAGTACTCATACAAACTCAACAAAAGGAAGAACAAGAATCCCATTAAAAAATGGGCAGAGGACCTAAATAAACACCTCTCCAATCAGGACATACAAATTGCCAAGAGACATATGAAATAAATGCTCAACATCACTAATCATCAGAGAGATGCAAATTAAAACAAGTATGAGGTATCACCTCACACCTACTAGAATGGCTGCCATCAACAAATCATCACACAACAAGAGCTGGTGAGGGTGTGTAGAATAGTGGACTCTAGTACACTTCTGATGGGAATGCAGACTGGTGTCGCCACTATGGAAAACACTATGGTGTTACCTCAAAAAATTAAAAATTGATCTGTCATTTGATCCAGTGATCCCATTTCTAGGAATATATCCTAAGAAGCCTGAAACACCAATCAGAAGGGATGTTTATAAGAGCACTATTTACAGTTTCTAAGTTCTGGAAACAGCCCAAGTGTCCATCAATAGATGAATGAATAAAAAAGCCATGGTACATATACTCAATTGAATACAATGCAGCCATAAGCAAAATGATCTCTTATTCTTTGAGACAATATATAGGGACCTGGAGAAAATTATGCTAAGCGAAATAAGCCAATTAGAGAAAGACAAATATCACATGATTTCATTATTTGTGGAATATAATGAACAAAATAAGCCAATGAACAAAATTGACCCAGAAACATAGAAGTAGGGTACAGACTGACAAACCTCAGAGGAGGGGGGTGGGGAGAGGGAAGAGATAAACCAAATAACTTATATGCATGTATACGTAACCAATGGACATAGACAACAATGCTGGGGGTAGGGTGGGATCGGGAGTAGGGTGTCAATGGGGGAAAAAGAAGAAACATCTGTAACAAAAATTAATTTTTTCAAAAAGAAGAAACTAAAGGCAAGTGACTCTTTCTTCAAGTTGAGCTTTGCCAGCTCTGGAGAGAGGCTCACTTAGGTAAAGTAAAATTATATTTCTTAATCATTAAAATATATATATATTCCCCCATAGAATTAACATTCATATTAGTACCATTCACTAACTAATTACTGATTTAATGATTTTACACATTTTTATATGCTTTCTAAAATTTTGCATAGGCACTAAAAGTTTGACACAACCCCTCAACTCTTTTTTTTATTATTTTCCCAGGGTGAGACCACTTCATACAATGGTGGTTAAATAGAACTGGGGCCAAAATTCTCTGAAAGCTTCTTAATGATCCTTGAACAATTTTGGATTGCTGCTTTAGTGATTTGAATATGATGAATATTTGGGGAATGTAGGATTTGACAGCTCTTTTCTAAAACCAGTCTAAATTTTAAACACCTCCCTGATACCCACTGAAGTAAAAATAAATAAAAGATCTATACCTCAGCACTCCAAGAACCTGTTTCTGTCTGGGACACTCGGTATGTATAAATGTAACCTTGATACCTGTGAAAGAACAAACTCCATTACTGAAAAATTCCAAAAGAATAAGTAGATGCTTTCAATTTGAGCTTGACTATTACATGTAAATGTTACATATACTGGAATACACATATATGGCACCATGAATTAATAGGAAGAAAATCCTGGGGAATCTAACTAGCTTGCAAGTTTCCAGTAAGTCTTCTTTGTGTTTTCCTTTTAATAAAAATTGTGGGAGCTCACACTCTTAAAGATTTGTCTAGTTGAGAGAAAGTTTGGACAGAAAAAAACTAGAGACCTGTGTTGCAACTAATAAAAATCATAAATTATTAAATAGTTTAACTAAGTGTAGTCTTATTATGTTTAAGTACATATAGAGCCATAAGGTAAAAACATCTCACAGGGATAATGTACTATCAGACCCATTTAAAATAATAGTAATAATAATATTAATTATAAATATAATAAATGTAATACTATATTCCTATTACTACGTTACTTTTTAATATATTATAAAATAGTAGTAACAGCAATTTGAATTTAAAAGGAATTCTACTGAAGTACTGGAAAGCAGCTTGTCCTTTCAGATGGGATAAATATCCCCCCCTCATTACTCAGTGTGTACACATATTAGATATCTGTATAATTGATTTATACTACATACCAAGAGTCTTACTTGCTGTGTTAGTTCGCTCAGGCTGCCATAGCAAAATACTATAGACTGAGTTGCCTAAACAAAAGTAATTTATTTTCTCACAGTCTGGAGGATAGAAGTCCAAGATCAAAGTACTAGCAACATAGCTTTCATTCTGAAGCCTCTTCTCTAGGCTTGTAGTCAGCCACCTTCTTGCTATGTGCTCATGTGACCTCTTCTTTGTGTGAGTGCATGGAGAAAAAGATCTCTCTCTCTCTCATTCTTCTTATAAGGCCACCAATCTTATTGGATTAAGGCCCCACCATTATGACCTCATTTAACCTTACATACACTCAAAACCCATCTCTAAATACATCCACATTGGGGGTCAGGGTTCAACATATGAATTTATGGGGCACGTGATTCAGTTCATAGCATTTCACCACTGGTGCACCCAAAGACACCTACTTCTCACATACAAAATACATTCATTTCATCCCAACAGCCCTCACAGTTTTAACTCACTCTAGTATCAACTCTAAAGGCTAAAGTCCAAGGTTTTATCTAAATATCATCTAATCAGATATGGATGAGACTCCCAGTATGAGTCATCTTGAGGCAAAATTCCTCTTTAGCTGTGAACCTGTGGAACCAGACGAGTTGTGTGCTCCCAAAATTCAATGGTAGTATAGCCATAGAACAGACATCCCTATTCCAAAAGGAAGAAATAAAGAGAAAAGGGTGACAGATCCCAAGCCAGTCTAAACCCTCATAAGGCCAATTTCATTAGATCTCAATGCTTGAGAATAATCTTCTTTGGGTTGATACTCTACCTGCCAGGCACACTGGGTGGCACTGTCACCCCCACAGCTCTGGGGAGCAGCCCTGCCCATTCTGTTTTGTTGGGTTCTGATCCCGCCTTTGAAACTTAGGTGGAAGTCGACTTGCCCTGCTAGACTTGTGCACTCTGGGCCTGTGGTGGGAATGATATCCCCGATGATCTCTGAATCACCTTCAGGACCATTCTTCCTTTTCTTGAGAAATAAAGCACGTTTTTAGCCAAATTGCTCTGTTGTCCTGTCCTATTCCCTTTGGTCCAAACTGACAGTGTCGCTGAAGCTTTGATCCAAACTATTCCTGGCTTCTGCTGAGATGGCTAAAGTTATGGGTAATCTCCTTGAAGAGTAATTATCGGGCCACACCCTTGGTGTTCTCTCCAGAAGTTTCCTCAATTTGTACCATATGGGTAAGCTAAAAATCTTCCAAATCTTTAAGTTCTGATTTTGTTTTGCTTATCAATTCTTTCTGGAATTTATCTCTCTCTCTTTGCATTTTACTATAAACAGTCAGGAGTAACCAAGGCACTCCTTCAACACTTTGCTTAGAAATTTCTCCTGCTAAATATCTAATTTGTGAGTTCTACCTTCTACAAAATACTAGGACACAGTTCAGCTAAGTTCTTTGCCATTTATAACAAGGATGCCCTTTCCTCCAGTTTTCAATAACATGTTCCTTATTTCCATCTGAGAGAGACCTCATAAGAATGACTTTTCACATTGTGTTCACAGCAATATAGACTTTTCTTAGCATGCACCTCCAAACTCCTCTAGTCTCTACCAATTGCCCATTTCCAAAGCCACTTCCACATTTTTAGGTGTTTGTTACAGCAGCACTGTACTTCTTGGTACCAAAGTCTGTATTAGTCTGCTTAGGCTGCCATAGCAAATGGCATAAACTAAAGAAATTTAGTTTCTCAAAGCTCTGGAAGCTGGAAGTCCTAGGTCAAAGTGCCTGCAACATAGGTTTCATTCAAAGGCTTCTTCTCTTGACTTGAAGGCAGCCACCTTCTTGCTGTGTGTTCAAGTGACCTCTTCTTTGTGTGCATCCATGGAGAGAAATTTATCTTCTTCTTTTTATAAGACCACCCATCCTCTTGGATCAGGGTCCCACCCTTATGACCTCATTTAACCTTACTTACTTCCTAAATTCCCTTTCTCCAAATATAGCCACACTGGGAGTTAGGGCTTCAAATATGAATTTGATGGAGACATGATATAGTTTATAGTATATGCATTATCTCTTTTGGACCCCACTACAATCTTATGAGCTTTATATTGTAAAATTCATTTTATAGATGAGGAAACTGAGACTTTGAGAAGGTAAGTAACCAAAGCCACACTAAAGATCAAGCAGCAAAAGTTTAGAATCAGGCCTATTTGACCCTAGAGTTCCAGGTCTTGATACCCACACTATAATATATATAGAGAGAGATTATTTATTACATTTTAGTATATACAGTAATGCTATTTAATCTGCCTAATAAATTTTACTTAATATAAATGTAAAGTAAACTTTTTGCCAAATTATTTCAAATTATGAATCTAAATCTGGATCAACAGAGTTTAAGATATCTTCTGATCATTATTCTTAGGCACAAATTTGGGGCAATATAGATCATTGATTAAAATATGTGCTGAATTCAGATAAAAGTAAATGTGTTTAAACTTAAAAGAAAAGCCCTGACCAGTTTGGTTTTGCGGTAAGAGTGTCTTCCCATGGACCAAAGAGTCAAGGGTTCGATTTCTGGTCAAGGGCAGGTTGGGTTGAAGGTTTTATCCCCAACCCCAGACAGGGTAGTGTGGGAGGCAACCAATTGATGTGTCTCTTTCACATGCATGTTTTTCTCTCTCCCTCCCTCGCACTCTATCTAAAATATATATATATATATATATATATATATATATATATATATATATATATATCTCCTCTGGTATTAAAAAAAATAATACCAGATGATTCTAGAGCATTCTAAACAGAGGGTCATCCTTGAGGAACTGACCTCACTTGCCACTAACCCCCATTAGAAATAAATCTTTCAATATCTGGATTAAATCACTATATATTTAATCAATATCTATCAGCACCAATTACCTAAAGGACAAATCAACAACAACAACAACAACAAAAATACCCAGCCAAACACTCTAATCAGGTTCATTCAATTTGTAAAACCAAAAAAAAACAATTTAATTTCGGGTGTAATTATAGAAAATGTTTCATTTTTGTTATGAAGGTTTGCCAGAATATTTAGCTCTTGTATAAAATAGGTCGATATATGCATGTGTATAATATGCCAAACAAATTAAATATTGCATTGTTAAAGTCCTTAGTTTTTTTTTTTTTTTAAGCAATTGAAATCTACCTCAAAGCCCACTGATTTCAGTAAGCACTCTACAGGGAACAAAGTAAGAACTTTGATTTCCATTTTTCACCATGGGAGCTCAAACGTAAGGCTTAAAATAATTTTCTTTTTTTGTTGTTGTGGGTATGTGCCCCTAGTGGGAACTGAACCCGGGATTCTCTGGTCTGCAGGCTGACGCTCCAACCGCTGAGCCAAACCGGCCAGGGCTGAAATGATTTTGTTAAAGTCACACAGCAAAATGGAAATAGAAACAGGGAAGCAATTAATGGCAATAATTCAGTACTATTAAAGGTGATGTGGAAAAGCATTATTTAAAATCAGCGATAATGAAAGCAAAATTCTAAGTAACTGGTTTTCCACTTTCTAAAACTGTGGGTCTCTAAAAAATACAATGAATCTATCTTCCTACTATCATTCAGCCTCATTTACTCAAAATAAATGAGTCTGTTTTGAAAATTGTTTCCTAACGAATCTGATCTTATCTCACTTTCAGTTAAGCAGCAGGAACCTGAGTACCACTTCAAAAGTCCCTACTTCCTTCAGTCTCTGAACAACCTGGTGTCAGTGACACATAAACTTCTCATGATTAACCCATCTAATATTAACAATTTCCTTCTCCCCAAACCCTTAAATTTCTGAATGAGCAAAATGCTTTTACCCCTCAGATAAACCAATAGTTTATCTCTTCCTCTTTCAAGTCGCTGAAGTAACTGACCAAGTAGGGGTCCCCTATAGTCAATTTTCACTGTAATATGTCATGGATAGAAGAGATCTAAAACAGTTCAATTCAAATTACATTCCCAGGGTAATACTATCAGCATCAGCTGGGAGCTTGTTAGAAATGCAGAATCTCAGGCCCTTACCCCAGAACTACTGAATCAGAATCTGCATTTTAACAAGATTTCCAGAATTTCTCTAAGAACAATAAAGTGACTAACATGCAAATAAAATACCCACACCTCACTGGGAATATTGATGCCAATTACCCGAAAATCAAGCTGGCTTCTTTCACTCATCCAGGATACATCTGTGTCATCTGCCCCAGAATCACTCAGTCTATGCATTAAAAATGTAACTTTAAGTATAAGCTGAAGGTTTTTTCAATTGTTTCAGTTCTTAGAGCAGTGTTACTGAAGCATTTACTCTCTCTTCCCCAAGATTTCATAGTTTTGTTTTCTGTAGGTGTTA